AATCTCTCCTTACCACCCTAGTTCAAGTCATTGGCATCTCTTCTCCAACTGTTCTCCTTGCTTTTACTCTTGATTCACTACAGTTCTACTCTTGACCAGTGTTATACTTTAAAAATATAAATCAGATTGTGTCACTTATCTCTTTAAAAACCTACAATGGCTCCTATCTCACTCACAGTGAAAGGCAGTCTTTACTACGGTCCACCAGGCCCTCCAAAATCTGGGCCCCCACAGCCCCTTTGATCTCATGCCCTACTACCTTCCCCAACTCATTCTGCTCCAGCCACACTGGATTTCCTGCTGTTCTCTGATCACGTTAAGCATGCTCCCAACATGCGCGCCTTTGCATTGAGTATTTACTATGTCCAGAAAGCAAGGCTGACTCTCTTACCTTCTTCAAATCTTTGTTCCAATGTCCTTTCCACTATATTTAAAATTGCAACCCCACCTCTTGCCATTCCGAATACTCCCGCCACTTTAGTAGTCCTATGTCCCTTTCCCCACTCTGTATTTTCTTTTCAGAAGATGTTTCATTTTTAAATATACAAGATTTACTTATTTATTGTTTGTTGGCTTATATTTTGTGTCCTATTACGATAATAAAAGCTGTATGAGGGGAGAGACCATTGGTTTTGCTTACTATTTTTTAAGCACTTACAGCAATGTCTGGTACATAGTAAGAGCTTAATAAATATTTTTAAATGAATGAGTCCTTACTCTTTAGATTAGGAGTTTACCCTAACAATTCCTTTCAGGTCTCAAGGGCCATGCATAAAAGTTGAACCAAAGACTGAACTACTTTGCCTTAAAATTTCTGTCTTTATAAGCTCACAGAAAGCTCTCCCCAGTGCCACTGAGGTTGAACAATGGCTGCCTGTATTTCTTGATCCTATCTAAACTCCATATTGAGCTCACGTATCCTGTCAACATCTGAGCTTTCTTCATATGTCCATACTTGTTGTCACCCTCTTGGCTACCAAAAATACAAAATGTTTTAACCATCTCAACCAGAGCATTTGCATTATCATTTAGATAAGACAACCGAAGTGATACATATCTGATTTCTTTCCTTTTCTTTTCTTCTTCAACCTTTTCCCCCCTTCCTTTTCTTCCCTCCCTCTTTTCTTCTCTTTCTTCATTCTTTCCTTTTATGAAATTCTTTTTTTTTTTTTTTTAATCTGGCCTGGCCAAAGTTAGAATTAGGACTAGGACATTATCCTAGAATACAGACCTCAGTATTCTACCATGGTCTGCCAAAATTCACCCTTGCTATGCTCAACATAGCCCCCAAGAAACAGCCTCATGACAGAGCAGTATAGTATAGTGGTTGACAGCACAGATCATGAGCTACTTTGTTTGGGTTCAAATCCTTGCTTCACCAATACTAGTTGTGTCGACTTTGTTAAGTTACTTTCTATTTCTTCAGTTTCTTCATCTACAAAAATGGAGATAATAATTTTAGATACTTCATAGAGTTGTGGGAAAGATTAAGTGAATTCATATAGGTACATTTTTGAAGAATGTCTAAACACTGTATAAAAGTTGGTTCTCAATACCTTTAGGTAAAATCTAGTTGTCATCCTTAATCTAAATCATACTCTAATTTTTGCCCTAGAAGTTTACCTTTATCAATGCCACAACCTAATTGAACAAATAAGGTACCCCTTAGTGAGGGAGCAGCACTGTCACTGGGGAATTCCACATCAAGTTGCATGGAGTATTTTCCAGGATTTATGTTGGCAAGTGTTGAATAAACAGTACGAAGCCATTATTTCTTTCAAAATTCTCCTAGGTTGGGTTCTCCTAGAAAGAGTTCCTAAGAGTAGAATGTGCATGGAAGTGATTTCTTTGGCAAAGATGCTAGGAAGCACTGGTAAGGGAGTGGAGAGGTTAAGAAGGAAGCTAGGAAAGAGTATAATATGAGGAAGGTGTACTGTGTACAATAAGGTCTCAATCCTGAGTTCCCAGTCCTTGACAGGCATGTTGCATACACTCTGACCGGAACTTCTGGTCAGAGCATACAACATGCTTCAAATTTACCCCAAATGAAGATGTGAATGAGCACTGGTATTTACCAACTGAGAGCCATCTGGCATTGGTTGAGATTTATTGGGAGATGTGAGGAGGCAGAGCCTTAATCCCCTGCAATTCATGGGCTTTGGGGACTAGAGAGCCCTAAGGCAGAGTCCCAGGAACTTGCAGATAGCAGATGCTAGTCAGAGTGCATGGAATGTACACTGAGGAAGGAGTATGGGTGATGTCCCAAGAGTATCTCATACACCAGTGAACTGAAGCTTTCAGTAAAATCAAGAATATGGAGGCATTATGATAAAACCTTTCTATGGGGCCTCTAATGAATCATTTCTACTTTCATAACAAAAGTTTAAATATTTAAAGCTCTCAGGGGCACAACTTTTGGAAATATGAAACTTCTGCTGCTAAAACTGTCAATGTTTATGCTTTATTATTTTTATTTTTTAAATGTTTTTATTCTGATAAGCACATTTAACATGAGATCTACCCTTTTAAATAAATCTTAACTGTACAACACATTCCTATTACTATAGGCACAATGGTGTCCAGCAGATCTCTAAAACATACTTGCCTTGCATAGCTTAAATTTTATAACATTGAATAGCTACTACCCATTTCCCCCTATCCTCATCCCCTGGAAACAGCCATACTACTCTGTTTAATGTTTATAATTTCATATGAAATACTCTAAAGCAAGATTTGATGATTTAACATAGTAACTACATTTTATCAAATTATATTGACAATTGACTTTTTTCTTAAAAATATTGATCAAAACTTTCAAAAAAATTAATTCTTTCAAAATTATTGTACTATCATTTATGTAATAAATGTTTTTAACTTTTTACATATAGAGAATTACAAATAATTGATTCACAATGTTAGTACTGGCTTTGATACAAGAATAAATGTTACTTAGGTATATGCTTCTCATTTATCACTAGTTGTGCCTTTGCTAGTGTATTAGCTATTTAGTGCAGATTTTCATGTGCAAATGGGTGTTTATCTGCTTAGTCCTTGTCAAAATGATTAGGTAGCCTTCCGATTCAATACATCTATGAAAATCGCATGTGCTATATTGTTATAGTTTGTTCAGAAAACAGTTATTTTAGCTTCCCACATGTTATTAGTGTTGAATTGCACTTGTAAGGAATATGTATACTAATCCACAGTAATATCTATTATACTTCTATAATTTAATTCATGCAACTCTGTCAGGAATAAAATCAACCACAATTTAATTTCAAACCTTCCCAACCAGCAGCAGCTATACAATTTATGTGCTCCTTTTCTATTTTTACTACTGGATAATGACAAAGATGAATGCCTTTAAAAAGAAATACATATTCATTGAAAAGACTGAGATCAAATCTATCCCCCCTTCAAAAAGCCCATGAAGTTAGGAAGCCCTTTGGCCTACTACAGGAGGTTTGTTGGGAGTGAGATGGAACAATGCCCAAAACTACATCTAATGAGGACCCAATAATCCAGTTAAATTAAACCTGCAACACCTTTTTACAAACCATAATAATCAATGCTATCACAACTGATGTCAGCTATAATATTATTAAATATATTTTGAAGAATAAATGATTAGCTATGAGCATAGCCAGGGGTCCATCATACTGAGTGTGCTAGGTTAAAATGTATGAAGACAAAAATATTCAATTGGCAACTTAATGAGTTTTAAGGTCACTGCTCTCCTGACCCATATGTTCGTGAACATGAAAAGAAATGAATATTAGCTCATTAGCAGTGATTTACATGTTGAATGACAATGATGAACTTACAAACATCACTGTCATGAGAAACTAGTTAATGTGAATAATTATAAAAATACTGGCATGTCTCCTTTATCAATTGATTGGATTTCTTTTCCTCACTGTGCTCACCAGCGATTTGACTCTTATTTCAAAGAAAATAAAAAATAGCACCATAGTGAAATTGATGGGGTAGTTCCATAGAGCCATGCATCTCTTATTCTACTTTAGTAATTTTTATAGCTTATTTGATATAATGTAAGACATAAAACTCAAGTCACTCAAGATATTGCAACTTTGATTTCCAAAACAAACAAATGGCTTTATCTATTTGTATACTTATGTAGATAAATGTGTGATACAGAATGAGCTTTCAAGAAATCATTTAGAGTATAAAATATTTTGGCTAATAGGTGCTGAGAGCATACTTATCTTTTGTATATAATTTTATGCTACTTGCATTAGAAAATACCAAGCTCTGGCTATAATATTTTGAGTGCAAAATGTATGATCATGAAAATTATCTTGAGACACACACTATTATATACAATTTTTTGATGCTATGGTCATCTATCTTCAGACACTTTTCTCTAAATTTCAAAGCCTATTTCCTCATCATGTTTTGTCTTAGTTTGAAATTCAGAACTGGTAGTGGGTTATTTGAAAACAACTAGATTTGGTTGGTAGCCTTTATCTGGTAATTTTAAAGAAAATACTTTATTGCTTTCTATTCAATTAGATTTCATATAATGTTGAATTGATACTGACATTTGAAATTGAATATGTATAAGTGGAAAATAAAAAAAAACTAAAACAATATATAATAGATATAATATAAAACTTCATCTAATTTCCTTTTTTATGGGAGAAGAAAGAAAAGTAATGTATCAGTTGGGAATAAATCATACCTCTAATAAAGCTTGTTTTATGGAGAGTCCTACCCTGAATATATGTCAAACCATTATTTGGGGGTATTCCTTTGTTTTAGGAGGTCTCTCAACAGTAAATATTATAAAATACCTTCTCTAAATTATGTCTCTCTTTCTACCCCAGATTTCTAAAGCTAACCATCCTATAAAGTGTTTTAAGAATTTCATGTGTAAGTGAAATTGCCTTCACTTTATACATTTAAGTCAATTGTTGTAATACCACCAATGATCAATGTGATCATCTTGTAAAATCTAAATGAAAGTGTGTTGCTTTTACCTTCAGAGATTCCTCTTGTTTAAAGAGATCTTCAAAATCTTTAGCACAGAGGTCAGGAGCATTAAGAAGTTGTTCCACTTCTGATAGAGCTTGTGAGACATGAGTGATCTCAGTCAGATAAGTAGAAGGCACATAAGAAATTTCCAAAGGCATGTCTTCGGTCATCACCATCACTGATTCTTCATGGACAGTGTGCTGGTATAAATATACAAAAAAATAATTCTTTTAGCTTCCTAATAATGAAAATACCTCTACTGAGTTTATATAGATTCCAGTTTATAGCTGACAGAGGGCTGAAAGTAAATAAAAAAATACATGATAAGTCTAGTAAAAAGGTTATTTATATACACCCTCTTCTTCCAAAAAGCATTAGACACTTTTATAATAAAAGATATATACAAATTAGCACCGTAAATATAAGAATGAAAAACCAAGAATTATAAGGTCACAAGAGGGGTAGTTTTATCCTAAGAAAAGAATAACTTTTACAACTGGTTTTTTAAAATGTAATTTTAACCTTCCTGGAATACTCAGTATGGGGTAGGATGAGGAGGTCTACATCTGTGGTGTTCATACCAAAAGAATCTTTGCTATACTTTTTTCTATTAATCCCGATTGAGGTACAAGAGAGGCAAAGGGTTTGTGGCTGATATGTACCTTACTATTAAGCAACCCTCTCCTCCAAATTCCAGACATCAGGTCCTCTCTTTGATGTTAGATTCTTGCTAAGTTAAGCTGCTAATTAAGTTACTAGATGATCAGTACTGAGGGTGGAATTCACATTTTGGTAGGAACTCCAGAAAGCCCTAGAGTTCTAAGACAGCATCAGTCTCTCCTGCTGTATCTCTGTACTTACCTATCTGGCATTCAAGTGATAGACCTGATGGGCATTTAAAGCTCAGAGTCCTTTTGGACCTGGCCAGTAGTGCCTTCTTCCCTATTCTTTGTAAGACCAAGAAATAGATACTATTTGACACACAAATTCAAAAAGATAGATGATCTTTGCTCCCTTCTGTCTACACTATAAGCAGCAAAACTCTTGTATTTGAAATTAGTTTCCCAGTAACTTTGTTTTGAATTGATCAACTGCCACCTGCCTGTTGATGGGGTCAGCTGAGAGTTTCAGTAGCAGGGTCTCTAGGGGGAGTTGTGACTATAAGCATACTAACAAAGCCATTTATTACTGCACAGACTTGATGACAAGACCATCTTAATTTCTGCAGTAATATAAATGGAGTTTAGGAACCCAGACGGAAGCCACACGAAGATGGGTAAAATTACAAGCTAGTCCATTTATGCTTTCCTTTTAATTTCTCAGGTCCGGGATTCTTGTGCTCAATTCTTATATAATATAAAAGTGAAATAGTTCTAACTCAGATGTCTCACCTACTCATGGCACTGTAAATTCATAGGATTACACAAATTAGCTTAAATTACACAATGATACTTTTTACAAACTTTGATTTAATGTGCATATTTTGACCAAATACATGACACATCTTCCTTTGTGATCAATGTAACAATGATAATCTACATGCACTTCTAATTTTCCACTTAAAATAATATTAGAATTTTGGGCTACAGTTTAATAATCATAGATTTAACCATAGATTTTTAAATAAAAATTCTCGATCTCTTCATCTCAAACCAATCATTTCATCAATTTAAAAATAAAGAAATAAATTTGCAGGCTATTTGAATTTGCAATTTCTACTGACACATTAGGTTTCACACTAACCAATAGACTTAACAACACAAGTCAAGCAAATTTACTGCGACTTTCACATTTTTCTTTAGACTGGTGAATATTGTTCTTAGTTAAAATTTCCAAGTTAATAAATTTGTCTTATTTGCATCAGTTGCTTCAATTTCAGAAGGAAAAATAGGTCTACAATTATCTGAAACAAGATTATTTCCTATATTATTTTTATAGCATAATTATCTTTCTTTTTAATTACATATATTTTATACCTGTATGTTTTTAAAGAATAGTGTTTTTTGTTATTAGGGACAGAATTGAGTAGAAGAAAAATAGTAGTTTCTCTTTCTCATATGTGTGTGTGTGTGTGTGTGTGTGTGTGTATGTATGTATTTTTGTTTAACAAAAAGGATTGTTTTAAAGTGGGACATATTTTCAAAATATTTAGAAAATATATGAGTTTCATTTAAAAAAAAATCAGTGAGTTCCAAAAGGTTTTGATATCTGTTATCATCCTCTTAAAAGGAAAATGATTCTAAGTTCTTTATATCTTCTTTCTGTTTCCTTTTAACATGTAGTTTTCTAGCTCTTCATTACCTACATTTGGGATGCTCTCAGCTGTCTTGAATTCATATCAGTGCCACAGAGATATAATAATTATGGATTGTAGATGGCAAGGAACTTAACTGAACAGTTAAATACAATAAAGAGGTATTAAAAATAAACTCATATTGGACTATTGCCTTGGACTTAATTTCCTGAAGTACAAATTAAAACCCAAATTTCCAATTCTTTGATGTTTGTGGCTAATGATATTTCATTTTGCATTGAGGAACTTTATATAAAAGTGAGATTTTTAAAAAATAAGTAACTCTGGAGTGCTGTGTCTGAGAAGTAAGATTTGGCATCAGCCACAAGACTAAACCAGGGCTGTAAGATCTAGAGCACATGGTCCTCTGGCTTCTCATTTGTTGAGTTTTACACTACTTGATTATATATGTCATTAATTGGTTCTTTTATTGCATATTGATTCATGTACTTCTTTTCCTCATATTCAAGGAATATGCATGTCAATAGAAAAAATATTTTTCCTATATTTTCAAGGAAATCTCTTTTAGGGTAATGTTATGTGACATTTATTTTTAATTAAATTTATTGGGGTGACACTGGTTAATAACATTATATAGGTTTCGAGTGTACAATTCTATAATACGTCATCTGTATATCGCATTGTGTTTGCCACTTCATGTGAAATCTCCTTCTGTCACCATATATTTGACCTTCCTTATCTTTACCTACCTCCTCCCCTTTCCCTCTGGTAACCACTAAACTGTTGTCTGTGTCTATGAGTTTTTATTTGTCTTGTTCATTTTTTGCTTTCAGTTTTATATCCTGCATGATTGATAAAAGAGATGAAGAATGAAATAGCGAGCTTAGGAAATAGACCTGATCAGATGGAGGACAGAATTAGTGATGTTGAAGGCAGAAATCTTGACATGATGCAGATGGAAAAAGAGAAAGATTAGAGTGGTATCTATTCAAATCTAGAACTTTTCAAATAATTAAAATTTTGTATCTGGTTCTAAAAACCATTTTTGCTTTTCATTTTCTTAAAGATAAAGTCTTTACTAACCTGATGGTAATATCTTTCAAAGAATCATTAGCCAGTGTATTGCTGGTAAGGTATATCTATTTATATGCACATTGTGATTATTTTCAGGACTATGATAGCTAAGTCTTAGAGCAATGGGTGTCAATTCAAGGAAATACATAGTCTAATTATGCCATATTCTATTCACTTCATGCTCAGACATGGCATGATGAGATTCCCCAACCCATTTAGAAATATTAATACTTACTGGTTAATGAAAGCAAACAAAGAGATAGAAAGGTATATTCTATCACTTTAGAGAATATCTTGAGAAAAATTGCAATATTTGCTGTCCTAAACTATTAATAAATGAATTATCTTCTATTTTTTCTTTTGCACAATAAGTTAAATTAGAATGCCTATAATTCCTAAATGACTTCTGGTTACCATTACCTGTGGGTATGGACTCAGCTGTATTTTCTAAGTTAAAAGGTTAATATCACACATACTATACATTTAATAAAGACTTATCTATTGGAAGATTTAGCTCCTCCTATCATTATGATATTTAGTATCCAGTCATCATAGATAGGAAAAATTAAGTGGTACATATCAGCTGAATAGAAAAACCTAAGGAATAATCCTATGAATCTTTATGAAAAATAGAAATATTTCAAAATAACTTTTTGACATCATTGGGAAACTGTCATTTTCTAGAAAACTCAGTTTCATAAATTTTGAATATTCTCATTTATTATAAAGTTTTAATAGATTTTTATATACAGATATATACAAATAAATTTTTATATTGAGAAATATATCATAATTTTCATATATAATATACTGCTAAAATTTAATTAAGAGAGTCAGACAATTGGAGATTTCATTTACTATCCACTTCTAAAAATATATCATTCCTTTTGGCACAGTCATGCAGGTCTATAATAAATAAACTATATCCATTGAATGACTTGTAGTTTGGCTTAATAAAAATTTCAGACAGCTATTTAAAAATCAGTGTAATTGGAATTATCATGTTCATTTTCTCTTCTTTATGTAAAATCCATGCACTCATATTCAGATTTTGACTTTTCATTTGAATTTCATTAACTCTGCCTTGAATAATTATATCCTTCTGAATTCTGATGTGTACAAATGCCGTCTAACCTTTTGAAAATCAACTTGCTTTTGTTAATGTTCTTTACCACCTTATATCATTATAGATTTTCATGCATCATTAGCAAGGAAGTGTTCTAGCCATACTAATTTATTTTATTTCTCTGTTCATATTCCCTTCTAATGACATATACCCAAAAGAATACACTATCCTCATTTTCTGGGAATGAAAATCAAGAGATGTGAAAGAAAGCCTCAAAGTACCTATTTATATTAAGAAATAAAAGACTCAATTGATGCTTAAAAAGGATTATTATAAGACAAAACTACTATTTGTAATACTTAAAGTTAAGATAAAAACAATTTTGAGATTTTGAACTATGTAAATAGATATAGGTATCAGTCATAAATTATTTCCAAAATAATTTTTTTTGGGGGGGAAACTTTAGTTATCACATTCTTTTTATTACTTAAAATTTGTTTCTTGAAGGGCTACATAACCACATGAAATGAAGGCAATCCTGTTTTGAAATAAATGGTGCATTATATCTAAGTTTTTAAAACAAAATGTCTTTCTCCATGATTGAAAGGACTTCTCTCTCTTCAATATAAAAGTTTCAGATGGGTTGTGATTACTGGCACATTTATGAGTTATGAGAAGAAAGAAACTGAAGAAGGAAAATATGCTATATGCCATATTATTATGATGTATTCCTTAAAACTACCTCTATATCTAGTATAAATATGGTATATAAAAGATATGTCAATGCCTTCAAAGTCTAACTGACA